AAAAAAAAAATAAAATAAAACAATCAGTTCAGTCACTTTTAAAATAGTGGAAAATGAGAAACACAGGTTTTTTCAGTAAGTGACAGTAAACTGGAAAATACATTTCAGATTAATACTTTGGCCATGTTGGGTAAGACAACTAACCAAAAGAGAGGGGAAACAGTCCTCAGTGAAGTTTGGCTCTATCAATCTAGGCAGGAAGAAGCAAAAGAGCTGTGGTCTGAATTTGGCTTTTAATCAAACCAAACCTTCTCTCAAATAACGAATCCAATGCTTCCGTGTAAGGCCATGTAAGTGATGGTCCCATGGCTTCCATGACCCAAAATATTTCTCATTCTCCACCACCTTCACTCATCTTCTCTTGCTGTGTCTGGCCACTTTAAGACAATCGTGTCCCACTACATACTGTCCCCAAGCAAATGCAATTATAGGGTAATTCCTAAGCTTTGACTCATTTCCAGGGTCATCAAGCCTACTGCCCAATTGCTCTCCTATTATCTCCACACGGATGGGTTGTATTCGATGGGTTTTCTCTGGGAAGGCCAGGAGAGACATTACTCGGCCAGACACGTACGCGTAACTGATCACTCTCCACTAAGCACACCACACATTTTCACAATTTGTTCATCTTTGTTGATGCTTCCCTCCTGGCTGTGTCTTGCCTCCACTCTCTGCTTGTCAAATTTTCAAAGTCTCTTTTCAACCACTCTGTCACTTTATACTCTTTTTTATGGCACTTCTTACTGCCAATTGTTTCCATTTGTTTCCACCATCATAGTTTTGGGTTCCTTGATGGCAGAGATTCTCCACTCACCTCCAATACAAAAGCTGACAGAGTGCTTTCTCTGCAACACAGAGATCATGTTTGCTGCCTAGATTTTCTACATAATTTACTTGGAAGCATCAGTGCCCCTCAGAATACACGGCAATTATCGTAGACCGGAGATAAGTCACTTCTTCACTGGAATCATACTCTCCAACCTCAGTTATTTATGAAATGCTTATTTTCCGTATACGGGAATATGCGTTGCCTGCATATGCATAGTATAGGAGGGAATAAGCACTGACATCAGTCCTCTGAAATCTCCTTTCAAGTGAGTCCTGATACTCAAGGGTTTGCTTGTTTTGTTTGACGGTGTACAATTTTCCTTCTTTTGCCTGACATTATTCTTTGGGAAGATAGGATTTTAATATTAAAAGATTATGTCGGGGCGCCTGGGTGGCTCAGGTGGTTAAGCATCTGCCTTCGGCTCAGGTCATGATCCCGGGGTCCTGGGGTTGAGCCCCCCCACCCCTGTGAGCTACCTGCTCAGTGGGGAGTCTGTTTCTCCCTCTCCTTCTGCCCCTCCCCCTGCTTGTGTGAGTGTGCACACTCTCTTTCTCTTCAAATAAATAAATACAAAAAAAAAAATACATAAAAGATTACATCAAAAAACACCAAAGTTTTATTGTTTGGGCCTTAATTTCAAAACCAGTTTTGAGGTCATTTGGTCCTATGAGAAATACAAGTTGCTGGGAGGGAAAGAAACACCTTGGAAAATATCTCTCAAGGTTAAGTGGGTCAAACTGAGATTTTACAGAAAAGTAGTAAGGAAACAAACCAGCTGGAAACTGCACTTTTAAATGATGAAAACACTTCATTTAGTCAAAACATGTCCCATTTCTAGGAATCAGTGCCTAGAAATTGAAAGACATTTCAGCCCTGGATAACAAACGTAGGTTTGGAGATACCCAGAGCTTACAAGAGTTACATTAAAAATCTGGAAACGTGACCATGTCCACCATTCAACGTCACACTGAGTCACAATGGTAGAGCTTTTAAAATGTAGTGCACAGACGTGTAACTGTAGGTTCTGAATTTCTTTTAATGGCAATAAAATACTTTGCATTTTTAGAAGCAAAAGCAGACACAACCACCAGATACCTAATATAGTCACACTCTGACTTTCTTCCACCCCTTCCGCCACGGTGCTTCCCTATCAGGTCTTGTAATGATCTTTCAAGCGGATCATAGCAGGTTGTACAGACCACTTACTAGCAGATTTTTTGGGCAATTGTGTTCACCGTTTCAGGAAGCTAAACTGTCTTCGTACCAGCACTGAAAAGACCGATCCAGCTGCAAACCATATGCAGCCCACTTACTAGAACTGGGGAACTCTGAGCAGTGAAGTGAAACTGTTCTTACAGGAAGCTGCAAGTATGGGACCGAAAGGCAGAAGAGCAGCTAGGCTGAGGAATGCACACTGGAAAAACCTCCATACAGAGGTAGCAATTCAAGCACTAAGAAAGGATGAGCTCTCTGAGAATCAGTGCCGAGGGTCATGATCAAAGAACACTCACAGTCAGGGATGACAGAAAAAAGAATCACAGACCTTTTTAAAAAAACTTTTCATTATGGAAAATTTCAGTCATAGACAATAACCTAAGAATACAATGAGCTCCCAATACTTATTCCCCAGCTTCAACAATTATTAAAATATGGCCAATCTTGTTTCATCTATACTCCCTCCCACTTCCCACTCTCCTCCCCTTTTTTTGAACCAGAAGGGACTTTGAGCTCATCTGGTTCAACTGCCTCATTTTACAGATAAGTAAACTCAACTCCAGAAAACACAAATGATATGCCCTGAGATTACACAGCCAAAAGAGACCCATAAAATAATAATATGATAAGAGAAAAGGAAGAAAGGAGTTTCACAGAGTCACTGTGATCAATATCGCTAGGCACTGCAGAGAGAGCTTGTGAAAGGTGAGGCCTAATGGCGGGATTTGACCAAAAAAAGAGTCCCTGGCTTCTGCTACCCATCTCCATCCAATTCAGACCACCAGCAACACATTCCTCACACAGCCATTTGTTACCATCAAAGCTACCGAGGGCAAAACAATTCCCAGCCTCCTCTTTAACATTTCTTTAATTAATCTCTGTAATGAATGGACAAATTGGATTAATGGACAAACAATTATTAAGAGTGAACAGTACAGACCAGGTACCATTTTGGGCCCTAGGGGCACAGAGACCAGCCAGAGAGAAACTGTCCTAACCTTCACAGGGTTGAGAGAAACACATAATAAACCTGTATATAAATAAACAATTAAGTGGCGCCTGGAGGGCTCAAGGCATGATCCCTGGGGTCCTGGGATCCGGCCCTGCATGGGGCTCCCTACCTCCCTCCACCCATGCTCGCTCTAAGAAATAAAATCTTAAAAAAAAAAAAAAGAAAACAAAAACAATTACAGACTACGCTAACCATGGGGAAAGACATAAGGGTGATGTGAGAAAAGAGGAGCCGGGGGTTCTACCTTAAATAGGGTGGTCAGGGTAGGCATCTCTGAAAAGGTGCCACCTGAGCGGAGACCTAGCCACGGAAGCACCTACCACCTTTACCATACAGTCATCACAGGGCCTTCAAATGGGAGGATGATATCAGGGCCCACGCTGATGGTGGAAAGCCAAAAGCTTGAGGGGGACTATGGCCCACTATCTATAGTTATCATCCCCTGCGTCATTTTATCTTTATCGTGACATCACCATTATCAGCACCACCCTTTGTATTGGAACAAGGTTTCCGAGTGAGGGCAGAGCGCTCGCCAGTCCTCACGAGGGGGCTTACAAGTAACTTACACTCGTAACTAGGAACTGGGGCTCTGAGAAACCAAGACACTCGTGGGGCCCCAAGGTTCTACTCGATCCTCTCCACCAGCCTCCACTCGCAAAACCGAAAGCAGCACCGCACACCACGGCCCCGGGGGAGGGGGACGGAGGCGGTGCGGACCACCGGGGCCACACTGCAAGACTAGACCCTAGCTCCACAGCGTCTTCACTTCATGCTGCTCCAGAGGTCACTTCCCCCTACCGGTGCCCAGCCGACCTCGCCAAGGGCTCCCAAGGTTGCAGCCAGCCGGAACCACGGCGTTGCACGTGGCAACTAGATGAGAATTTTCCCGAAGTCGTGCCCAAGGACGGGTGCCGTACCTGTCAGGAGGCGTGAGGAAAGAGAGTGCGGGGATGCGGCCATAACGCAAGAGTCCGGCCGCTCCCCGGGATCCCCGTGTCCTCCTCTCTCTTCACCGGCTGCTGGGGGCCGCCATCTTCCTTCCCCGCCCCCGTGGGAGCGGAGCCGCTTCCGGTGCGTCACTTCCGGCGGGCAAGACGCGGAAGGAAAGGATTGTGGCTGGAGGTGTTCGCCACTGGGCGGGCGGGAGAGTGCGGGGCTGGAGGGCGGAAGCCTGAGGTTCTTTCGAGAAACGCGAGGAGCACGGTGTGGCTGAATCTTCCCGGAAAAGAGGCCGCGCGCGGACCTTGGCCCGCGCCGCCGTTCCCAGAGGTTTCCCTGCGTCCTCCGGCCGGACCCCGGTGACCTCGTGCGAGGAGCAGGGCTGGGCTGCGGGCTCCGCGCGCTTCAGTTTTTAAAGTCAGTTTGGGACGCTTCTTGCAGACTGAATCGTCAAGAGAAAATGGTTCTTGGGACGATGCCTCCACCTTCCAGTCTGATCGGTGGCAGCTTTACTCTATTTGCTATCAAGTGGGAGGACCGGTGGACTCGGGGTTGCTTGTCCCTGAGCCACCCCGGGGAGTGGAGTCCTCAGAGTCTGTCTCAGGATGTAGCAGGTGCGTGTGGTGGTTGGTTTCGGGCTCTGGTGAGAGGGCTGTATTCGAGTCCTCACTTCACCTCTGGCCTTCTGACCTGCTTGAGCAAATTACATGAGCTCCCCGAACCTCATTACCTAGCTGTGCAACGGGGATAATAGCATCTATTTTATAAGATGGGTCGAGAGAATTAAATGAGGTCTCTCTAGTGGGTAGCCAGGCACCAACTATATATAGGCTCTAAAAATGATCATTAGTGTTGTGACTTCTAGAGCGGATCTCAGAAGCCCTTCCTTCCTCTTTTTTTTTTAATGTAGGAGTTTCACAAGTGAAAGGACACTGAAGAAGAAGGATGCAGCTTTTGGAAAAGAGAGAAAGAGGTAACTGCGTTCTATAAGGGGGATATGTGTCTTCATTGATAAGGTGATAGCCGATTTGGTTCACCTCCGCTAACATTGCTAGACGCAGGATAGGAAGAGTAAGATTCTCCCCAAATGTGAGAGCTTACGCCGTGCTCCCAATGGGGGGGTGGGGGTAGGAGAGGTTCAGTTTAATAGAGTCAGCGTGAGGGGGTAATGTAAAAGGTATTGCAAAACTGTGGATGAGATAACAATTCTAACTGGGTCAGGGAAGGCCGCAGTGATTTGAACTCTGCTCAGTTGGAGGACAGTAGATTTTTCCTGCAGATCAGGAAAAGGACACTCCATGAAGAGAAAAATGGCATTAAATACTGTGTTAAAAGTTTTCAAACTCATACTTTATTGTGTGCTTTTATAAACATTTGATGTTTATATCCATAGCAAGTTTTATGAATTAACACGTTGAGGCTCAGAGTTTTCAGTGATCTGCCCACTCTTCTCCTAGCTGCTTGAGTTCCAGAACCAAGACCAGAACCCCTGATACCTGTTCTTTCCACCATATCGTACAGCCTTATTCACCTGAGCATCTTGAAGTGTAACAGTTTCTGTGATTTATAAAACACGGTATTTCAACCTTGGCTGTCTGTCAGAATCACCCAGAGGGCTTCAGAAATTACAGATGCCTAAGCCACTTACAGACCAATTAAATCAGAAGGGGTGTGGAATGGAAGGAAGAGACCTGTAATTTTCTTTTTAATGTACCACAGGTGATTTCGGTACACAGAACTCAGAATTACTGGATTTCAGCTTTTTTTTTTTTTAACTTGACAACACAGCTATGTCTAAAAGATTGATTAACATGAATGTTATATTTCATATACTCAGAAAATACAAATTCCCAAGTGCTCTTGGTTTATGATAGACAAGGTGTTGAATAGACATGTTCCTCTTTGGCTAACAGATTTTTCCTTCATTTTAAATCCTTTCCAAAAATGGGGGCAGGGTATGATCAAGGGCACAAATTAATGCATAAGTTTTTATTTATTTACTTAATTATTTATTATCTTTTTAAAAAAGATTTTATTTATTAGGGAGA